GGGGGGGGGGGGGGGTATTTGGGTGGTTGAAGATCGTGACACTGCTTAGTGATTTGGTGAGTTTGCTTTGCATTTTTAAACAAGGTGGCACTTCAATATTTGGTGGTTGTAATAATAAGGCAGAATAGTCTAAATGGCATACTTTTATTATTTCGGTCCCTGTATTCAATGAAGTTTCATCCAGATACTTAAACTCAGTTAAAATATATTAAATCTCTCTAACCGTTGACTGAACTTACGTGTTATTCATTTTGCTGAGTCAGAAAAACGAGTGATTACACGCTCTAAAAATGAAAATGAATATATTTATTTTGATTTAAAAATATTAAAAATAATAAAGAATAACCATAAAAAAAGAAAAGGAATAAATTAATTTCTCAACCAAGTACTCTACCCATTTCCCAACCCTTCGTCCTTATTCCCTCCCCCCTCTTCTTCTCCCCCTCTCTCTTGTTTACAACAAAGTAAACAGGTGGTAGCCAAGTAATATAGCAACAAAATTAATAGTATAAAAAAGAGAAGAATTTTCTTTTAGGGAATCTAAATAAACAGATCTGTTAATCGGGTTAAAGTTTTTAAAGATATCAAGAAGTTATGGCCAAGTAATTTTCGTGTTCAGCAGTCCATTGTGATCATAGGTTTTCCGAAGGAGTCTGGTGAGTGAAGAAATATGTGGTGGAGTCTGCTAATGATTAATTTCCAACAATCTGGTTTTGCTTTTTGGTGGTCGGCAGTGTAATACTTCCAACGATGTAGTCCTTTATCTTTCAGTGATGGTACACTGCTTGTTAGTTGTTTTCCCTTTTTGTGTCTCTGTAAATCAAGATTACATTTGCGTCTCTGTAAATTCTAAGTCCTTTGTTTTTGTGGATGGTACGCTGCTCGTTGTTGCAAGATAATTTTTTTTTTCAAAATTGAAGAATTTTATGTATATGAATTGGGGTTTAAGATTGTGCTCAGAAAGGAGGAAAGAGAGCAAAACGGTGGAGGCAACTTCAATTTTCCAGTTGTTTTCCGGTGATAAGGGTCGCCGGCAGCATAGGAAGATGGTGATGGATTTGAAATATTATTAAAAATTAATTTTTAAATAAATAAAGATGTGGCATTAATTTATCTGATGTGGACATGATATGTCCTCCATGTCAGGCGAGTGACCAACACATAATGCCGAAGGGGTTTAAATACATATTTTGACTGAGTTCAGGTGTCTGGATGAAACTTCATTAAATACAAGGACCGGGATGACAAAGTGACACAAGCATAGGTGTCATTTAGACTACGGCAAAGGGCTAAATATACCCCTTTACTTTCAAATATTGTTTACCTGTTGTAAGCACGTGATTTTTGCCCTATATGAGAATTACTCCCAAAAAATTCAAAAATAAAA